CCTCCCACAACTTACTTTACTAAAATTCTAATCGTGTTTGAAAGATTTGGCCTATTGGGCTTGTGTTGGCTTTTAGCACCAAGAGTGTCGTGTTTGAGAGATGTGGCTATCTATGGAAACAAAGAGTGAAATTAATCAAAACTATACTATGGTGTTCAGTTGCTAGATTCAGAGTATTATTAGGTGAGGATTCTTATTTTCGGAATGCATAAATTGTGAAGGGAAAAGAACAGAGAAAGGTGCCAGAGAACTAGTTTGGGGTTTTTTGTTTTTTGAAAAGGTGTAGCTTATATGGTTGAAAGAGCGCCTTTTTTTTTTTTTTTAAGTCTCTGCAGTGAGTTTGAGGATAACTTGTTCACTAATTTCATTCGTTTAACAAAATTAAAAGTTTTGTTTGACTACATTTTTTTTTAAATTAATTTAGGTACCTAGTAGAACTGGGTTGTATCAAGCCACTCTGTGATCTCCTCACAGTCATGGACTCTAAGATTGTACAGGTTGCCCTAAATGGCTTGGAAAATATCCTGAGGCTTGGAGAACAAGAAGCCAAAAGGAATGGCACTGGCATTAACCCTTACTGTGCTTTGATTGAAGAAGCTTATGGTAAGACGCTTTGGTTGACGAAGTTTATGGCCAAGAATTAATTGGGTCATAGATAGAGTTCAGTAAAAACAATAATGCTATGCTAGGCACTGGATGAAAAGGGGACTTTTAGGGAAATTGCTGCTTCTGCAGACTGGATGTTGCTTGCATATGTATTTAAGATGTTAGTTAATAATACTAGCTTTCAGATGTAATCCCAGCAGTCATTTCTATGCTATTATAAAATAGCAAGATTATACAAATAATCTTTCTTCATCAAGAATGGAGCTATATGATAAAATGTAGTTTGAGAATGTAGAGTTATGGAATTTCCAATATTTATTGAAGTTTTCAATAAAGATTTTCCTTTATTCTTCATTTTAGGTCTGGATAAAATTGAGTTCCTACAGAGTCATGAAAACCAGGAGATCTACCAGAAGGCCTTTGATCTTATTGAGCATTACTTCGGGACCGAAGATGAAGACAGCAGCATTGCACCCCAGGTTGACCTTAACCAGCAGCAGTACATCTTCCAACAGTGTGAGGCTCCTATGGAAGGTTTCCAGCTTTGAAGCAATACTCTGCTTTCACGTTCCTGTGTCAGACCAGGATACCTAGTCAAGTCCTCTTGTGGAGCCCACAGTCCTCATGGAGCTAACTTCTCAAATGTTTTCCATAAAACTGTTTGCGCTCATTTGCTTGCCTTGCGCACCTGCTCTCTTACACACATCTGGAAAACTTACGGCTCTCTTTGGTGGAATACCCTTCTAATAAAAGGGTAACCAGAACGGCCCACTCTCTTATGGAAAAATCCCTAGGCTTTGGAGATCCGCACTTATATTAGAGTTATGGGAATATACACATATTAATGTGGCTCCCTTTTTCTGGTGGGGGAATTAAAGAGGACTCCTCCTCATTCCCTTTAACATGGGGAAAAAACTGACATTAAAAGATGAGACTAAATCTTTATCTTGAATTTTACACAACTACTTATGACAAGGGAGATGTTTAGACTTGTTGTGTATACTTCAGAGTACTTTTCCTGAGTTCTTCCACAGTGAACCCTTGGATTACCTGGTGGCTTTTTCTAGCCAGATTTGCATTAATCCTTACTGAGAATGGATGGTTTTCTTTATTGGCACCATTCTTCAGATATTAAACCATCCAATTCCTCACCTTCAGCCTTCAGTGAATGTGCTTTCTAGTTGTCAGGAATGCTGAAGAATTAACACTTTGACTCTAAAATGTGATACTGGTTTGCAGATTCCCTTAGAGCAGAAAGGAGAGGGGCACGTGTTAATTTGTGTCGCTTTTGCTTCTCTTTGGTCTTTGTGTCTTAGGATTTGGAAGTGATTCATTTCTATTGCTGGTATGAGGATTTCGAATACTTAGTAATCGAAAACCATATCCTATAATTTAATAAAAAGAACTAAGGAAAAAAAAACGCTCCAGTTTTCCCAAATGCAACCAGTGTGACTAGAGGCTGTGTTTCTATATTAAAACAAATGTTTCAGGCTTTGTGGTCCTGATCAAGGTCCTCGTTAAAAAATTGGAGTTCACCCTAGGTGCTTTTCCCTTCTGTGACTGGCAGATAACACATACTTTTGAAAGTAACTTAGGGATTTTTTTTCTTAGGTGCAGCTAGATTCTAATGTTTTCATGCTGCACACGATTCCTTTAATGTAGCATCCTTATCTGAAAAAAATAACCAACTTCTCAACATGACCTGCTTAACCTGAATAAGGACAGTGATCTTTTCTTACAACCTCATTGTTCCCTAATAATTTTATTTCATCTCCTGCTAGTACTGTGCCACTTCCCCTTACTCACCCCTGCAAAATAAAAACAGTATCCGCCTTCTGGCTCATTTAATGATGACTGCAATCTGTACCTACAAATGGCGCTTCCAGTATTGTGTTCAGTGATCCACATTTGTGCTTGGACTGGAATGAAAAAATATGCTTAATTGCCAAGAGAACTGCAAATGAGTTCAATGTGACTTCTCGGTGCTAGTTGGCCATCTTGACTCAATGTTGGGATACACTACCAGAGAAGATTTTTTTTGTTGATGTGCTGTTCAGAATGAATTCTGAAGGAAAAGTTGCTCACCTCTGTTTCAGAGCATATCCTTTTAAACCTTTTTAGACTTGTCCTCTTCTAGAATTCATTAAAACCCCAAAGTGTAAAAACTATTCGGAAGTTGCCCCTGACAAGCTATTATACATCTCTGGTAAATCCTGCTGAATGTAAGGGATATTCAGAGCTTTCATACCTCATCATGATGTTATTTAAGCAGCCAACTTATGTGACCTGATTTAAACTTTTAAAACACTTCAGAAAGAGTCAAAGACAAAGGACATCAGCCAAGAGTGTGACGCATTCTTCGCATCTAGTCTGTAGTAGTATCTGTGCTCTGGGATGGATACCGTCTGATGTCTGTTTGTTATTGATGGAGCAGCCACTGCAAAACTAGTCAACTTCCATCTATAACTTACTTTTTTTAGTGCTGCTTTGTGCTGAGAGAACATTTTAGTTTACTGCACTTGACTTGTAAAAGACTTTGATTCTTTGTAATTTTAGGGAAAAATTAGGTGGTTAATTTAAAGAAGAAATTTCAATGTTGCCTTTACATCACATTAAAATACAACTTCTTTCAGAAGGGTAATAGAAGCACTGATTCATAGTAAAAATCTTGTTTTTAGCTTTGACTTTTTTGTGGCTGTTTTTTTAAATTGTAAATTACTAGTAACATGTCATTTCTATAGGATGTTTTAAATTATGTGCCCTCCATTGGATAGTTAAAATATTCATTTTATAAACCAATTTGAGTGGGAAAAATATAAAGCACATAGTTGTCTCCCCACATCAGGAAGAGAGTGTGCATTAGGAATTTTTGCTAGTAGTTGGAGATGTTTCAGTGAATGAATTAAAACAAAGTCTATTTAACTGACGTGATCTATTTTGTGTCTATAACAGAGGAATTTATCTTGTCCTAGAAGTTCATGAACTGTAAGATCTAATTTTCTTTTTTTTTAACAAGAAAGTGATTTTTTTTCTTAAAGCATCAAAGTTGGAATTGGCTAAAAGTTAAATAGCATAATAACTCATATGTTGGAACGTGGTACTGAAGCAGCCTTTTTGGTGATAGAAATGACATTTTAAGGGGTAACTGTAAATCTTTTTAATTCTTTGTCTGTCGGATTTTGTTAACTTAGTTTAAATTCGTTGAATACCCTACCACTAAGGTGTTGCTCATTACAAAAGCATGTTAATTTCAATACAGGAAAACCCTTTTGGAGTTTTTTATATGGATTGGGGAAAGTGGCTTTGTTTTACCTTTACTTTTTTTTTTTTAACCCCATCCTCCAAACTTCCAATCTATATTCTTTGTAATGAGAACCTTGGTAAGGAGGGAAAAAAAAAAGCGTTAAGGAATTTTGGATGTAAAGGCATCTGGTATCTGATGGACCAGCAGGTAGATGTGGTTGGATTGAGAAATTCTGGGGAAGGTAGATGATAGATCAGAAGAAAGGAGAGATTTAGGAGACATAGTTCTCTGTGGAACACTTTCTTTCATGTTCCTGTCATTTACTAATCAAGACCCTTTTAAACGCTTATCTTTGTCAGTTCTGCTTTTGAAAACTCTATTGCCCTAGGATTGTTTCTTCCATATACCAGATGAAGCTGATTGGCTGTGGGTCATTTTCAGCATTATCATCCCAGAGAAAAAGATTGGCAATTATCTTATAAAAAATCTGAATTATTCCAGGTTGCTGCTGATTTTTGCCTAAGAAACAATATGTAAGTATATTTTATAAACCAAACTTTGTCAACTAAATCTTCTATTGTACATGTCTACCCACAGGTAACTTTGAATTTACTTCTCTAGTGCAAAATAAACATTTCATCTATTTAATCCCCCAACTTGAGATGTGTTATGAAAAGGTTTACCTGGAGTCAGGGGGTTTTTCTTTCTTGTAAGTTTTATGAAAAGTTTTATATCAATAGGCAAATCATAACTTTTTAGGGGTTGATGGTTTTTAAGTATATTGGAAATTGTGGTATCTAAGGATGATGTTCAGTGAAGAAAAGGGATCCACTTTTAGAAACCATCATTGTTTGCTTTCAACTTTCATAATGTATGCTAATTCCTGCATTCCAAAATGGGCTCATTTGCAGAGATAGGTATGCCTATATACGTGGAAGTCTCAAATCTGAATTTTTATCCATTTCAGTATGACCATTTCTTTCTGTTGTGAGGTGAACAGATTAAATATATATCTGCCAGGTTGGGAAATATTTTGGTCTACCTTTTCCTGTCATCAGAAGTTAAAGTAATTAAAAATATATTATTGAAGGTCAGATGTGACTGATGTAGTAGTAAGTTGGCTATCATAAAAAACATTCCATAAAATATTTTACTGCCAGGACAGGTTATAACAATAGATACCAGGACATCATAATATGTGATAAAGCAAATATTGATATGCTGATTCAAAATACCAGATTACTACTGGACATAAAATACATGTAGAAACTTGGGGTGAGAAGGAGGAAAAGTAGATGAAGTTCCATTCTGTTTTAACTAAGAGTAAACGAAGTCCCAGTGTTTTTCCCCATAGGTCAAATTAAGGTAACTTGTCTTTATTTGATCATGTGTTGTACACCAGATACCTGGCTAAGGGCTTTCCTTTTTTCTCATGTAATCTTCCAAATACTCTTTGACAATTATCACTATATTATAGATGACAAAGCAGAGACTTAAGAGAAATTACTTTGCCACAAGGTTACAACCCTTAGATGGCTGTCCAAGGGAGAGGAAGAGCCCTGTAAATTCTGTCTTGAAGAAAACAGTGGCCACACAGTAGATTGGTGCCCAGGAACTCCCAGAACTGGACTTGGCAGCCACAGCTGGGCCGCCTTTTTTATTGGACCATTCTTCATGACTCTTCCTCACCATCAGTACCCTTGAAATGATGAAATTAGGGTTAAGTTGCTTTTAGGTTACACAGACTGGAGTGTAGACCCTCTCAGGCCAAACATCTTTCCCCTTCTGTGGTGCTAACATTATGTATGACCAGAGAAGTGTGGTAACAGGTTTTTTTTTTTTAATGTGCAAATTAGTCAAAACAAAATGACTAAACACATGGATCCATTCAAATGCACAATGTTGAAGGTATTGACAATGAAGGAAAGGCTTTGAAGAATGACTGCCTTAGAAAGCAGTGCCATGGATGTGAATTTAACACAGTCTACTTCTTCCTAAAGACTATCATCCCAAGGAAGGTCAAAAATTAAAATCAGCTTTTAATATACTGGTTGTTGAGTATTTCTGCTTTACCTTAAGTCATTCTGACCACATCCTGCTTCAAAGTGTTCTGACACTTTGATTTGGAATGGCTCTAATGATTCTTTGTACTTGAATGTGGTCTGTCAGGCCATGGGTGAGTGCCTTGCACATAGTAGACATTCAATAAATATTAAATCAAGGAATATACATGCATCTTTGTGATGTTAGTAAAAGGCGCTTGATTAAAAAAATTCAAAGGAATTCCTTTAGGGCGTTAACTTGAAACCAGAATTAAGCAAGTGTCTCAACGTGTAAGTTTTATAAGCAGTTCCTTTTCAGAAGACATGATTTGACCTGAAGTTTACAAAATCAAACATTGTCATAGCATAGGTCTTGTGTTTAAAAACAAACCATCTGCTTAGAAAAGCAGATGGGTATATTTTACAGTAGAGATAAAAATTTATTATATCCAATCAGTGTGGAAGCTGGTGGTTGCCTTAGGTTATTAAACAGGTATTTTTCCTTTTTACATATTGTAGTATCACATACTTTTTTTTAGCCATTTCTCTAAGTGACAGATGAATAGAAACAAAGGTGGTTTATTTCTTCACTCCATGACTGCTTCTCTTCTATTTTGTTGGAAAGATTCCACTGACTAAGTATTTCTTCTGAAAACAAAAAACATTTGAGGCAAAACATAGCCTTAGTTCCTGCAGACTTCATTGTTTTATCTATTGTACAAAATTACTGGGTTTACGGCCAGACGTGGTGGCTCGTGCCTGTTATCTCAGCACTTTGGGATGCCAAGACAGGTGGACCACTTGAGGTCAGGAGTTCAAGACCAGCCTGGCCAACATGGTGACACCCTGTCTCTACTAAAAATAAAAATTAGCAGGCCATTATCTATGCTTGCAATCCCAGCTACTCAAGAGCCTGAGGCAGGAGATTGAATCTGGGAGATGGAAGTTGCAGTGAGTTGAGGTTGTGCCACTGTACTCCAGCCTGGGTGACAGAGCAAGACTCCGTCTCAAAAAGAAAAAGAAAAAAATTACTGGGTTTACAAGTTTATTAAAGATAGCTTGAATGATTGTTGCTCCATTTCATTTGCATTTTGAAGAAGTCATTGTTTTCTCTAATTTTAATATACAGTCCTTTCTGTGGTTGTTTTTTAGCAGAAAGTAAAATTACTCATTTAATTCTTTATTTATATTCACTTAACCAGAGGAAGACCAATGGAGTCCACTGGGTGTCCACAATAAAGATCATTGCTTTACCCCGACTTGGGCCTGGCATTATTAAGATAGTGATGGGTAAGGAGAAAACAGAAACCCAAAAGACCATAGTGAATGGTGAGAGAACCGGATCAAGTTTGAGAGAGACCTGAGCAGGCTGAGGTATAAACTATCATAGAGTGTGGAATGTTCCAAGATTAAGTTATGATTATGAGGAGTGTCCTCTTGGGAAGTCAAAAGTACTAGTTTGCTGGGGACCTTCCCAGTTTACATTTGGAGGTCACCTGTGAATTATTTTACTGCCCTCTTTCACTTTTAAAAATGTCCCAGTTTGGATAATGTTTTGTGGCTACTCCGTATTTAGCCCAACTAGATTTTCATACATTGGCTAGTGGTCTTAAGCAACTAGGTATATATATAGTTGTATTAATGCTTGATATTGAGGACTGGATTTGGTAGTCAAGAATTGCTATGAAGGAAGTTAAGACATTCTTTAATGTGGGTATCACTCCCAGGCTATGGTTTGATGCCACACATGTACAAAAAAATTGTTTTTAAATAAAAAATTGCCCCATTTGTGGCAACACATGGGTTTAGGTAGTTAAAATACTGAGGGGCAAGGGAAACAACTTTATAGTTAAGAGACTTTCATTTCTAAGATGTTTATGGGAAATTTAAAGAAACCCAGTTGATTTCTATACAGAGGAAACTTTCCAAAGCACCTATTTGGTAAAGTTAAGGGCAGCAGAAATAGAAACTGTTAATGAGACCATGTAAGAAATTTTGTTTGGCTAACCTGGGCAACATAGTGAAACTGGGAACAGTGGCAGGCTCCTGTGGGAGGCTGAGGTGGGAGGATCACCTCAGCCCTGGTAAGAGGCTGCAGTGAGCCGAGATTGCACCATTACACTCCAACCTGGGCGACCAGCAAAACTCAAAAATGAAGAACCCAAAATGTAGATCTCTATTCTGCCACTTTGGATTTACTTGTATCAGTATTCCATGCTCCTGCACTGCAGTGTCACTAAAGTTTCTGCGCCTCCCAAGCAAGCAAACTTGACATTCTTAGTGCTAATTTCCTAGGGACTACAATGTTAGGACTACATGTTAATATCAGAACATGAATGAACAATAGAACATAACTAGTTATAGTCATAGCCTTGAATGGCCTTTGAAATAACAATCCACAGCTTCCCACACTAGCCAGTAGGGTCTGGGACAAACCCTGCTCAGCTAACGCATTCAACCAAGAACGCAGTCGCATTTGCATTTGAAGGGCGGGGCGAAAGGGACCGGAAATAGCGACGACTCCTTTTGCGCAGGGACAGATGGCCTTCTTCCATTGGTCATCTCAGCTCGGTAGCCGTAGGAGGGACTTCCTTTGTACAGACGCCAGGTTTCTTTTCCGGCTTTGTTGGAGACCGATGCGGCTGTGCAAACCTGCTGGTACGTGCAAAAGTAGCCGACAGGCTAGCGCTTCCAGTTTGGATGCTTTTGTAGGTTTTCTTTTAGCTTCTGAAATCCGCTAAAAGCGGCATTTCATTCATCTTCAAGTACCTAGTCTGACTGGTAGGGTTGCTCAGCGTTCTGAAACGTTTTGGAGCAGGGGAGGGCGGCGGCGGTGAAAGAATGCTTTCTCTAAAGGGTCTCCCTCACGCTGCCCGTGCTTTGAAGGCTTTATACATTAACGGAATGGCGAACATTTGTGTCCTACTTGCTGACAGCGCACATGATCCTTCTAACAGTATTTCTCAAGTACTTAACAAAAAGATGAAAAACTGAAGTCCAAGCCGTGCTGCTGATTCAGTATATCACACAGTTTAAAGACTGTCCATAAATTTTAAGCTTTCAGAATCGTACATTTTAAAATCAAATGTGTTTATCTTCATTTTGCTGGGCAGAAAGCCAAAGTACTGGACTGCCTGGTTCAGGGCTGGACACCTAGTACACCTGCTAACTTGGAGCTCCAGAGACATGGCAACGAAGGAGTCAGGAGATGCCCAAGCACAGTTGGCCCCCTCCTCATCTGCCAGTCAGAGCAAGGAAGTGCCTGAAAACCCAAACTATGCTCTCAAATGTACTCTCGTGGGGCACACGGAAGCAGTATCATCAGTTAAGTTTAGTCCTAATGGAGAATGGCTAGCAAGTTCTTCTGCTGATAGGCTAATCATAATTTGGGGAGCATATGATGGAAAATACGAGAAAACACTCTATGGTCATAATCTGGAAATATCGGATGTTGCCTGGTCATCAGATTCCAGTCGTCTTGTTTCTGCCTCAGATGATAAAACTCTAAAGTTATGGGATGCGAGATCTGGAAAATGTTTGAAAACACTGGAGGGGCACAGTAATTATGTCTTTTGTTGTAACTTCAATCCGCCATCCAACCTTATCATCTCAGGATCTTTTGATGAGACTGTAAAAATATGGGAGGTAAAAACGGGAAACTGCCTCAAGACTTTATCTGCTCATTCTGACCCAGTTTCTGCTGTTCATTTTAATTGTAGTGGGTCCTTGATAGTGTCAGGTAGCTATGATGGCCTCTGTAGAATCTGGGATGCTGCATCAGGCCAGTGTTTAAAAACGCTCGTTGATGACGGTAACCCTCCTGTCTCTTTTGTAAAATTTTCTCCAAATGGTAAATATATTCTCACTGCAACTTTGGACAATACTCTTAAACTATGGGATTATACCAGAGGCAGATGCCTGAAAACATACACTGGTCATAAGAATGAGAAATATTGCATATTTGCCAATTTTTCAGTTACTGGTGGAAAGTGGATTGTGTCTGGTTCTGAGGATAACCTGGTTTACATTTGGAACCTTCAGACCAAAGAGATTGTACAGAAATTACAAGGCCATACAGATGTCGTGATCTCAGCAGCTTGTCATCCTACAGAAAACCTCATTGCATCAGCAGCATTAGAAAATGACAAAACAATTAAACTGTGGATGAGTAACCACTAATCCCTTTGGAAATCAAGTAGTATAGCTAAGTTGGCCAAGAAACTTAGTTAAAAAGATGGTTTCTTTTATTTTGGCAGTTTTTGTATTTTTAAAATTGTCAGTTGTTAAATTTTGAGATTCATACCCTACATTTAGAAAATGAGATAGTGGAAAAAGCACATCTGGAACTCAGCTTCTGACTTCGTCTTTCTTTAGAAACTTTTTTTTTTTTTGTAATTTTTATAGATTTACATCCATTTAACTTTTATTACAGGGATATATTGCATAGTGGTGAAATCTGGGCTTAGTATACCCTCACCCAAATAGTATATGTTGTACCCAGTAAATTCTTCCCCACGTCTCACCCCCTCCCACCTTTGAAGTCTTCAGTGTCTGATTCTGCTGTCCAAATCCATGTGGACATATTATTTATCTCCCACTTACGAGAGCATGTGGTTTTTTAACTTTCTGTATTATTTCACTTAATGGCCTCCAGGTCCATCCATGTTGCAAAAGACATGATTTCATTCTTTTTTTATGGCTGAGTAGTATTCTGTGGTGTGTATGTATGTATATGTGTATATGTATATATAAGTATATACACCACATTTTCTTTATCCAGTCATCTGTTGATGGGCAGTTTGGTTCCGTAACTTTGCTAATATGGATAGTATTGAGATAAACAGGTGATTTTAAAATATAATTTCCTTTGGGTAGATACCTACTAGTGGGATTGCTGGATTGGATGGTAGTTTTTAGTTAAGAAATCTCCATACTGTTTTCCATAAAGGTTATACAAATTTACATTCCTCCCAACAGTGTATAAGCTGTGCCTTTACTCTGCATCCTTGCCATGACTCTTTCAGACAGGAGTCTCTGTGGCCCAGGCTGGAGTGCAGTGGTGCAAACTTGGCTTACTGCAACCTCTGCCTCCTGGGTTCAAGCAATTCTCATATCTCAACCTCCTGAGTAGCTAGGGTTACAGATATGTCACCATGCCTGGCTAATGTGTGTGTTTTTAGTAGAGACAGGGTTTCACCATGTTTCCCAGACTGGTCTTGATCTCCTGGCCTCAAATCATCCACCTGCCTCAACGTTTCAGTGCTGGGAGTACTGGCATGAGCTACTGCACCCAGCCATTTTTTGACTTTAATAATAGCCATTCTGACTGGTTTAAGATAGCATCTTACTGTGGTTATAATTTGCATTCCTCTGATTACTGATGTTGAACTTTTTTGTGTGTTGGCCACTTGTATGTCTTCTTTGAAAACTGACTTATAATCTTGAGGCCTATTATTTCATTTATCTGTCACTGGGCAATTTCCCATTCCTCTCAGTGACTATCCTAGAAAATCAGTGTATTTGAGAAATATTTAGAAGTAAAGTTGACGGATCAGGATGACTGATTAAAAGAGGGGAGCAAGGGAATTTGGAATAATTCCAGGGTTTCTGGTTTGGGAGATCAGATGAACAAGTGCATAAGCCAGAGATGGTGGTGGAAGATTGGAGATACGTGCCAGATGCCACCTGCACACTTTTGGTAATATCCTATGTGATGGGACATGAAATGGTCCACAGAATAAAAACTGGAAAAATAAGTCAAAGTTAGGTTCATTCTAAGCGTCCAAAAATTTTAAGTTCAAGAAAAAAACTAAAACCAAAACATAAATGGTGTTTCTCAAGAAACTTTCACTAACTTGTTAGATTGTGCTTGCTTGTGATTTTCAGGCAAGCTAAATGTCTGATGAAGACTGCTCCTCTTTGTTATGTGTCTGACCTACTTATTCCTGCCCCTGCTTCAAACTTAGTTCAGAAATCACCACTGATGGAACCATCCACTGCCTGCCTGCCTGCCTCTAAACACAGTTGACAACTGAGTTAGGTTTTCCTGTTCCTATTATTTACCAATTTGTATTGAAATGCTTTCATGGGCTGTGTTTCCAGATTATAAGCTCTGTGGAATCAGGAAGTATGTCTCTGTATTCTTGTATTATTTGGTTTTTGTACAGTAAAGGGACTCAAGTATTATGTTTGATGAATGACAGTGAAGGATACAGCTTCATTAGTTGCTTGGTTTGATAAATTTTAATAATAAATTCCCAAAATTATCATTATGTTGATTAAAAATAAGTGTCTAACCATAACCTTATATATTAACTTTATTCAACAGCACTTACAGGAAATACGAAGTAGAAAGAGATTTCTGCCCACTTTACCTATGGAAACATGTTAAACATGCCAAAAAAAACTAGAAATTAAGCAGCAAATAGTACAATAACTGAAAGCAACAAGGACAAAACTGTCTTCTTTTGTAGTTTATGGTACCTTATAGTAGTGCTCATTAAGTTTTGTTTGCTTGATACATTCTGAGGAATATGAGATATCAGAGTTACTAGTAGGGTATGAGTGCTATAAGGCTGGTATGTGAGGGTACTGGGAGAAGTAGGATTAGTTAGGGACAGGTCTGGAATTCGGGCTAAGAAAATGATATTGAACCCATAAAGAGATAGTCACTATATATTACTGAATAGGAGAATGACACAAATGAGAAACGACTGTGTAAATTCCTGTTGCATAGTAACTTTTATGAGCTTTAATGAAACATTTGTAATAAAATGTAAAATAAAAATGTTTCAGTAAACTTGGCCTGGCACCATGGCTGAGGGCTGATGCCTGTAATCCCAGCACTTTGGGAGGCCAAAGGAGGTGGATCACCTGAGGTCAGTTCGACCAGCCTGGCCAACACGGTGAAACCCCTATCTCTACGAAAAATACAAAAATTAGCTGGGTGTGGTGGTGTACACCTGTAATGCCAGTTACTGAGGAGGCTGAGGCACGAGAATTGCTTGAACCCGGGAGATAGAGGTTGCAGTGAGCCAAGATCATGCCAGTGTACTCTAGTCTGGGCGAGAGAGCAAGACTTTGTCCCCCTCAAAAAAAAAAGGTTTCATTAAACTAAAGCTCATAAATATTACTATGTTTATAATATAAATCTCCATGATACAACATATTTTTGTTGCATTGCTCTATGAAGAGGATTACTTATTTTTAAAAGAAGTTCTACATTAAAATTTATCCATATTTAAAATATTGGCATAGGTGTCGCAAAATAATCAAGAAAAACTAATCTAAAATGTACAAGAGACTATGCTTTTTAACATTAAGTTTGCAAGTGTCAAAGAACTTGATACATATAAAGAAGCTAAAGCCAATTACTCTGAAATATATGGACAGACACCATGAACACCCTCAGATAGATTACCAAGCCATAGGTGGTATGTTACATTTTACTGAGTATTTTATTTGGGAAGAAAGTGCCCAAACAGCCATGGATATTACTTTACTTTTTAATCTCCCATAACTCTCTGAGAACCAGTATGTTGGCATGGCTATATAGCAGTAGTCACTCCTTATCCTCAGGGGATATATTCCAAGACCCCTCAGTGGATGCCTGAAACTGGATAGTGCCCAACCCTGCGTATACTGTTTTTGGTATACATACATACCTATGATAAAGTTTATTTTATAAATTAGGCACAGCAAAATGCACTTTGATGCAACTAGTATTTTTTTTTAAAATGGAGTCTTGCTCTGCAGCCCAGGCTGGAGTGCAGTTGTGCGATCTTGGCTTACTGCAACTTCTGTCTCCTGAGTTCTGGTTTAAGCAATTCTCCTACCTCAGCCTCCCAAGTAGCTGGGATTACAGGTGTGTGCCACCACACCCAGCTAATTTTTGTATTTTTTTTTTTTTAAGTAGAGATGGGGTTTCACCAGGTTGGCCAGGCTGGTCTTGAATTCCTGACCTGTAATCCCAGCACTTTTGGAGGCTGAAGCAGGTGGATCATAAAGTCAGGAGTTCAAGACCAGGCTGGCCAACACAGTAAAACCCCGTCTCTACTAAAAATACAAAAATTAGCTGGGCATGACGATGCACGCCTGTAGTCTCAGCTACTTGGGAGGCTGAGGCAGGAGAATTGCTTGAACCCAGGAGGTGGAGGTTGCAGTAAGCCAAAATTGTGCCACTGCACTCCAGCCTGGGCAACAGAGCAAGACTCTGTCTCAAAAAAAAATTACAGAATGTGGTCTGGCTGCTTGTCAGGGCTCGCTGTTAGGGGGCAGCCTCCCCACCAGTACCAGGGCATTTGAGTAGGCTGGCTCTCCAAGCTGCATCTGGGCCATATACTCAACTGGCCTTCCTTATCTCTTCAGAAATGAGTTCGCCTGTGGAGAGGTTACTTTGGTAATGGAAAGAGAAGTAAGATAGAGTACCTGCTTCTCTAAAGATGAGTTGGTATTCAAGTTGAAGTAAGTTGTTTCATTTTTCTCCAAAAGGCTGAGAGGCTACAGTTTAGTTGGATCAAAACAGTAAGACATAATCATTCTTTAAGAAAATTTATTTCTGCTATAGCAGAAATACAGAAATGGCAAAGGTTTGGGCAAACCATACTTTATGAAATGGCTCCTCATACCACATCCTTTTTAATACAGGCTTGTTGCAACGTAATTCCTGGATTTTCAAAATTCAGCCAACACGGAGACCTCTGCTACTCTGTTTTGGCATTCATAGCTGTTTCTTCTCTCAGACGAGCTTTCTTTGCTAAGTTCATGCTTGTTAAAGTCTCATGTCTTTGGGCAGCCTAAAGCAAAACAGATTTGAACAGGTGATTTGTATGATGGTCAGGGGAGGGTGTCTGCCTTGCACTGACAACAGCAGGTTAATAGGGCAGTAGAGGCATGGAGTCCTCTGCTGCTTGGACACTGGGCGTGGTAGTCTCCTCCACGTGCTTCAACTTCCTTGGACGAACCCTGCTTCTGAGAACAGCAGCTCATCCGTACAAGCCAAAGAGAGAAGTACCACACCTCTCCTTTTTCTTCCATTCTGGCCCCTTTAAATCTTTATCCTCTCCTTTTCTCTTATACTTTCTTCTCATTCCACCCCACTTCTCTTTTATACTAAATACCTCCTCATTGTCATTTCTATCCCATTTTGATTCTTTCACTTTTCTTTGTTGCTACCATTTCTCCTTACCTAACTTGTCTGCATACTCAGACCCTTCTAGTTCCTCACTTTTCTTTTACCAAAAACATTCAGCTTTGGGAATCCCAGACTTTACCAAAATACTACCATTGATGATTTCCAGGAGTACCTGTACTACAATTCCATCATCTGAGTGAGGGAGGCAACTATTCTCTTCCCTCGTTTCTCTCCATGTAAACTGTACATTTCTATGAAGCTTACGTATGGCCAGTTTCAAAACTTTTATACCAAATAAGTGAAACTAGCACACTGAGCTCGTATTTTCTTCTATCTGTGTATTTCATATGTAAAAGAATTAGGTATGTGGAGGGGGAGGAGAAAGGAAAGTTGATGAGAGCAAATATACAATGGCTAATTATTCTCTTCCAAATCATTAAGTTCAAAAGTTCTCCATTCCAGTAGCATTTAGGGAAATGGAAATTTCATAAAATGTAAAATATTACAATTCTATGGTATAGAACAGGAAAATAACTCTGTAAAGTACATAAACCCCTGGATGATCCTAGAAGAGATTCCAGGTGAATAATTTGCTTCTGGAGTATTTAAACTCAGCTAGGACAATCGAGTATATAAAAGCAATGCAAATTTCTCAGAATTCTAGAAGCTCACAGTCCTGTCCACGTTTCTGCTGGTTTCAATCTGAACTACGCATGAGAGGTCAAAGAGGAAGACAAGACAAATGAAGTGGGATGGGTACAGTTTTCAAGAGAACTTCACCCAGGTCAGCACATTTGCCCCTTCGTACTCCCACGAGGTCAGCCTAAAATGGTATTTCCATTTAACTGCAAGACTAAAGAGAGCCAAAAGTATATTTCCTCACTCTGGAATTACTGAGCATAAGAAAGTCAGTTAAGAGTGGGTTTGTAGAATGACCTTTTCAGTATCTTTAAATAGTTATAAGACATCTTTTTCCACATGGAATCTGTGATATACAGAATTAAGCGTGGAATTAAAAGAAGAATTTGACCAAAGCTGCTGCATATACAAATAACTATAGCTTAATAGCAAGATAGTATAAGTTTGACAACCTGCAAACTTGGTCTAAATTTTTATCTTGCCACTTGTTAGCTGTGTGAATTTGGGAAAACTATTTACCTCTTAAGGTTATTGGGGTGATTAAATGAGCTTAACAGTACCTGTTACATAATAAGCACTCAATAAATGGGAGCAATTGTATTATTACCCAAATTGGGTCTACGTTCACATTGTGGCTCTGCCATTAGGGAGATGTGTGGCCTTGGGCAAGTTACTAAAGCTTTCTAAGCTATAGTTTTCCTCATCTACAAATGAAGTCCTAATAAGATCTATCTTACAGTGTTTTTGTGAGGTTCAGATGAGATACCAGCTAGAAAGTACCTGGAATGCAGTGAGTGTTCAATTAGTGATAGCTATTAATTAAATTCTGTGCTAAAGATTTCTGGACTTGCATTCCTATGTACTGCTTAGGAGCTGTGGTCTTTAGACATAAGGCCCTGTTTGGCTGAGCTTCAAATAAAGCTAAGAAGGTTCACCATGATGAAGGCAGTTATGGTGAAGATAAATATACTTCGGTACTGACACCACTCTATAAATATGCAATGGGTCATTAAATATGCCAGTGTCATATTTCTTAATTTACATTATGATATGTCATAAGAAATACTTTTTAAATTTACGTTACACAAAATGAGTGTAGTCCTTCTTCATCACGCCAAAGTTAGGATTTGCTATTTTATCCCCAAACGTGATATCCCAGGCTTGTTCCTAGTGTCTTATTTTCTTGCTTATCTTTTCTCATGTAATGTAGAAAGTAGCCTCCTCTTCTCAGAGGGTAAATACAAGGGTCAATTCCTGATTTCTTCTAGGTTCTTGGTGGAGAACATACACAGTGGATAGAGAAGAAACCCCCTTCTCACCTTCTTGCCTTCAATAATCATCAAGATGCATCCTGCCACTGTCAGGGCAATCATTATATAGCTAACCTTCACTCGGACCTTGTTCTTTGCAGCATCAAGCATCTCAAACCTAGAGATCATGAGAGAAAGTTATTAACTTTTCCCTTTCTGAAGTTGCGCAGGATAAAAAGTTCTGTGTATGAATTCAAAGTGTAATAGTGTCTATAAATATAAATAGGGAGACCTAGAGATCTCAGGACTTTGGGGAGGATGAGGCATTTTTCATAACTCATTTATATATAAAACACAGCAAGATGGTATACACTTAAGTACAAAAGTAAGAAGAAAACAAAGTGAAGTCAAGAACGAAGAAAAAACGGCAAGGTATATTAAACTACATTTGCTAAGGTGGACCCCAGTTTTGGCTCTCAGGTTTCCAAGCAGCCTATAAATGCTAAAAGTCAAACCAGTAGCTGTTTCTCCCTGCGGTTCTTAAGAAGACATTATGTGATCTAGTCATAGTCTGAAAACATCTTGACAACAGATACTACAATGAGCTTCATTATGTTTCAACATAAAGCACAATTTAAAAAGATAAATATTGGAGAAAGTTAACCAATGTGCTTCATATACCCAGCTTTTTGCTCTGTCTTGAACCTGGAATAGATTTGAGAATATCTAAAATCGTAGGAAGATTCTTTAAGCAATGCTCCTTATTATTTATCTTTTTAAAGTAATGTTTCTAAAATTGAGTGACAGTGAACTTGAGATTGTGGTCTTTGGCAAGTGCCCACGTGCACTAACCTATGCACTCAATACAGATCCATGTGCCTTAACAAAAAGTTGATGACTGGTTCATCATTCTTGTGTGAAAGCTAAGAGGCTTAACATAAAAGAGTCTAAAGAGAAGGCCAATCTACTTTGGTGACTTTGCAGGTAGGCAGTGGGTCACGGTTCTATTTATTTACTTTATTTAAAGAGATGGGGTCTCAGTATGTCGCCCAGGCTGGACTCAAAATCTTAGACTCAAGAGATGCTCCTGCCTCAGCCTCCTGAGTAGCTGGGACTATAGGCATGCATTGCCACACCTGGTGGTCATGATTGTTACCTGGATGTCTGGCAGAACCTTGTCCTTACGGGGCCCAGGATAAAGAAACTCTGGCCTTCTCAGCAGAGGTGTAATGACGAAGTGATTATCTCTAGCTGATTGGAATGAAGTGCTTTCTTTCCTCTGAGATATTTAACATACATTAATTTTAAAATTGGGGAGTACTTTAAGAATGCTTGGAAGGAGGCAAAGGGTCTGGGTGTTGCAGGTAGAACGAGGTGGATGCTGAAGGCATGTACGATGTGTGATGTAAGAGCTGGAATCTGTGAGGCAGCATGTGGATGGGGGTTCTTCAGGTACTTAAGCTGGGCCTGCAGGCTGGCAGGAACCCAAGACAACTGCTAAGGACCGTTGAATTGGTCAGTTAGCAGCATCTGAGATTCCACTAACCACAAACTGACTTCCCATGTTGACGGTATTCTATGGGATTTGAAGTGCCATGATCCTCATGAAAAGTAATCCATCCCATAGGGAGTAATAGGAATGGGCAAGTTAAGCAGTGCCTGTTCAGAACTACCAGTACAAGGATAAATGGCTGCCCAGGCCCAGAAAAGACCCTTCTAGAGTGACTCATGAGGCCATATTTTGGGCCTGAGGGGATCTTGGAACCAACTACTAGGCAGACTGAGGAAGGTGTTCTACAGCAAAGCCTATGTAGCATCTGTTAGGGCCATGGATATATGCCAGAGTATTTTCTGCTGGTATAGTCAGGAAGAATTAGGGCATAGGCAAGAACTTTATGCCATTGTTATTTCCAGTATTCTCTTATTTCCCAGAAGAATACATGATTTGAGCTAAGAAAAACTAGGGCTTTCCTGCTGAAATAATTCTAGCTAATGTGGTCTTAATTTGGCAGAAGCAGAAAAGCTCTATTAAAGCTATTGTAAAGAAAAAGTAAACTCTATATATTTCCCTGAGAAAGAAATCTTGAATGAGCTCAGATCTTTTTCAATCATGACTTGAAACTGAAGACCAGAAGATCCAGGAATAGTTTCTTGCTGACAGGGAACTTCGAGGAGCTTTGTCTAAAGTCCCTGTCCCTGAATAGGATGATGCCTCACAGGGGAGATATCTATTTCTCAGAATCTCTCTTTAGCCAGGATGCCAGTCAGTTGGGGTCTCTAACATGAGGCTAGGGCACGGGTTCTCAACCAGGGAATCCCCCCGTCCTGCGCCCACTGTGCCACTTGGACATTTGGCAGTATCTGGAGACATTTCTGGTTGTCAGCACTGAGGCAATGCTACAGGCATCTAGGGGGCAGAAGCCAGGGATGCTGCTAAACATCTTCCAACAAATAGAACAGCCCCTGCCATAAAGCATTTTCGAGCCCCAAATATCAACAGTACTGTGTTGAGAAACTGGGTTGGAAGAACCTGCACTCATCATCTACAAACTCTGAAAAAGTTCCAAGATCCCAGCCAAGATCCCTTCCCTTAGGGTTAAGAAAGCTGATGACAGGAAGCACTCTTTCCTGGATTCCAGAAAGAGAGTGTTGCATTTAAATATTGTTATGCCTAAGGTGTGAGTATGTAAGTGGATTTTGGGGAATCTACTTATTGTCAGTGGTACTTAATTTATATATCTAGATTAAAAACAAACTTAAAAAAGTCACACTTCTGTAGCTAGGAGATGAATCAAATACTCAACTGACTTCAGAGTACCTGACAGTTTTTCACTATGTAACATATCAAAGATAAGACACAGGTTTTCTAGCATTGTTTTTATTCCAAGTACTTACCAAAGATAAAACTTCTGGAAAAGTGAAAAAAGTTGAAAACTTTTAAACAGCTGGAACTCAGAGGCACTGCTTTTCCCTTAAAACAGATCAGTGAGAAATGAAAGCTGCTTATAATACTAAATTCGGCACTCACGAAATAGTCTCTGGGATTTCATCTTCCTTTTTGAAGCGACCTGACCATATCAGGACCTTTTTCTCCCATTTCGTAGGTTTGTGTAAAGGCACTCCGTGGGTGTAAATGCCTATGAGAAAAACCAGAAAGAAATCTTACTTGTTTGAGATTATAACTCTCAAACAACAGAAAAATGCTATTAATGCTATTAGTACTTTTTAACTAGTCACTAAACAGAAACATGAGAAATTTCAAGTTGATTACAGCTTTATTTGGATGGAATTTCTTAGGATGCCTCATTTTCCAAATAAGATTCTAAAATTTCATGGGGACTGAGGTAAAATAAAAGCATTATATCCTAATATAAGTCTTACCCATTGAAAACTGAAAGAACATCAAGAACAAAAATATGAAGTAAGGGTGAACCAAGATGGGAACAGTGAGGAGCTTGTCTGACTTCAGTAGACTAAGAAAAAGTTTGTATGGTACTATCATATTTTAACGGACCTTGAATGCCAGGTTAAGGGGATTAGACTTGATTAGGGAACTATGGTACATTTTGAATCAGGAAGAAATTAATGTTTTATGAAGGTTTATCTGTACAATGTATAGAGAGAGAAAAGGGGGACAGAGTAGAGTGTGAAAAAAGTCCAAAAGGGAGACTGTAATACAAGGGTGAGGGGATATAGTCTGAACCAGAGTTGTAGCAGTGGGAAGAGAGATGAAGACAGTCTGGGGATCACTGAAAGAATTTGGAGACTGGTTAAGACAAAGAGGAAGGAGTCACGAAGAACCTTAAACTTGGATGACTAAAATAACAGCAGTACTTTAAAGACAGGAAAAGACCCCGTTGAGGAAGGAAAGAACATGAATACTACTAAATCCGTGCAAAAAGAGAGCCAGTAAGGGTGATAAGAAGACCATGCTTATATTTTACCTAATGCATAATATCTTAATTTGGTTCATCTTTGGAGTTCTTTAAAACATAATTTCTGGATTACTATTTACTTTGGTGCATCCACACTCCTAGAGAGAGCTCTAGTCCAAACCTAGAGGCAAGAAGGAGATGAAAATGACAAATGCTGAAAATGAAGAAATCACTGTGCAAGTGCACATGACCAATATAAGCACAACACGGGAGGTCTGATGTAGAAACATGAGCCTCCATCAGGCCTCCCATGCTGTACTCATACTGGTCATGTGCACATGCACAATGTGAACACAGTGTGTTCTCCCTACATGAGAGGGTAGGATGTAAGAAACTCTCTCTTTCAGGTTCTTTAGATTCCAAGTTTTCCTACTCTTTGGGAGGTACCTACTCCATATATAGAAAAAATAAAAACTTACGGGATGGAGCTTTGGGACTTTCCTGTGATTTGGTGCAAAATCCATTTATTCTCTTCAGATCAGAGCTTCTGGTAAGCCTTAGAGATGAGAAAACATCTCTTTCCCATAACCTAAAACAGTTTCCTAAAAAAGAGAGAAAAATGTTTCAAAGAGAGAGAGAAAATGTGATGTTTTCTCAAAATGAGAAATGCCTGCAAGTATGTTTTACTTATGAAAATTGGTTCATCTAGGAAATGAATTTACTATATATAAGATACATAATACTATATTTAAAGTGCTGTGCTTGATGCTGGTTTAAAATATAAATGTTTTATTGATTAGGAAATTAAGAATTTACAACATAAAAATGTTATCAGCTGTAAATTCTATACAAGTACTTCTCACATGTGTCTTATCACAGTGGCTCTTGGGGGCTGTTTAGGTAAAGATTAGTAACCTCCCAAAAGTGATAAACTATGTCACCGAGTTGCCAATACTATGCTGATAAACTGGTTAAGGGGCTGCAGGGGTCAGCAAGTGACTCTAGAAAGCCTTACTCCTTCCAAGCCACAAGTCCCTAATTAGAAACCAGTTTTAGATGTAGTTTTGAATTATATATAATTTTAAAACTATAAGAATATATGTAGTTTATTTTGAAAATTTAAACTCATCGGCTAATTTTTGTATTTTTAGTAGAGACAGGGTTTCTACATATTGTATTTTTAGTAGAGACGGGGTTTCTACATATTGGTCAGGCTGGTCTCGAACTCCTGACTTCAGGTGATTCACCCACCTCCGCCTCCCAAAGTGCTGGGGTTACAGGTGTGAGCCACTGCACCCAGCTGA